CAACGCGGCCAAAAAATAAATAAATTAATTGTTTTAGAAAAAAGCCTATAGGATCGGGATTTCCCTGGTGTCCAGTGGTTAAGACTCTGGGCTCCCAATGCAGGGGGGCCCGGGTTCGATCCCTGGTTGGGGAACTAGATTCCACATGCTGCAACTAAATATCCCGCATGCCGCAACTAAAAAAAAGATCCTGCATGTTGCAACGAAGATTCTGCTCGCAGCATCGAAGATCCTGTGTGGGGCAACTAAGACCCAGGGTAGGTAGGTAGGTAGGTAGATAAGATAGATAGATAGATAGATAAATAAATATTTTAAAAAACCCTGTAGGATTGAAAACCAGTCTTGCTGTTTTTCCTTTGTAAACTGACATCGAACTTTGGAAGACTACCCATCTGACGGATGGATCTATAATTCGGAGTAAATAGAGGTTCATAATTGGACAGTGTATACTAGTTCATTTTGAGAGGACTATGCCTGAGGAATTAATGAGAAGAAACAATTTGGGAGAGACAGGGGACCAGCGCCGTGGGCAGGCTGTACGTTCGCCTGGTGGAGAAACATCTTACTCCAGTATTTTATAAAATATGTTCTATCTGGAGTTTATGTCTCACTTAGGAAATTTTTATAAGTTATATAAGCCAGCGGTGAAAATACAGGGCTAGATAGATGGGAGAAATTGCTCATGTAGTCAACTATTAATAATGCTCTTAAATCTATGTTTATTGTTGGGCCTTTTCATAACGCCCAGGGCCTTCTACTGAGATTTATGGCATGGCAACCCAAATAAAAATGATTTATTTATAAAATCCCTCTGAATTCTACTTGCTATGTTGTCGTGCCAGTTTAATGTACATTAATTAATTAACTTACTTTTTAAAATGTGTTCCTGTGTGTGAGCGCCTGCTTCTTGGCATTGTTTTTCCACGCTGAGAACAAGAGTTTCCATTTGGCAGACTCTCCTTCTCATTCTCTATACTCGGATGAGCCACGTGGCAGGGCTCAATCTATGATCTGTAGACATGCCTTTCCAAGGCCTAAGGTAGAGGCAGAGGTAGTGTACTTTCCTTGGACCATAGGATGTTGTTTATAGTACCACAGAGACCTTGACTCGAAGACTTTTTTTTTTTTTAATTTAATTTTGGCTGCGTTGGGTCTTCGTTGCTGCACGCGGGCTTTCTCTAGTTGCGGTGAGCGGGGGCTACTCTTCATTGTAGTGCGTGGGCTTCTCATTGCGGTGGCTTCTCTTGTTGCAGAGCACGGGCTCTAGGCTCACGGGCTTCAGTAGTTGTGGCACGCGGGTTCAGTAGTTGTGGCTCTCAGGCTCTAGAGCGGAGACTCAGTAGTTGTGGCGCACGGGCTTAGTTGCTCCACGGCATGTGGGATCTTCCTGGACCAGGGCTTGAACCCGTGTTCCCTGCATTGGCAGGCGGATTCTTAACCACTGCGCCACCAGGGAAGACCCTCTAAGACTTTTTAACTCCCAAATCTTGCTATTGTGGGTGGAAAAAAGACAAGGTTAAATGTGAAGTAACCTGAAATATGTGCTTCACATGGAGACTTTAGTGTCCCCTCGTTATAGTCTGTGGGCTGCTGTTTAACCGCGGAAGCACGGAAGGGTAAGAGTTTTTCTCTTGGATTTAGACGGCTGTCTAAACTGGCCCACAGAGATGCTGCTCCAGCGCAAATGTTCCCTGCCACAGGGCTTCTGCATTCAGATTTCCTCGGGAGTAAATTTTAACCAGTGAAATGCATTGGTTATAAAAGTTCTTTAGGCTCTTAAACTGGCAATCCTTGGGACATAAGTGCGTTGAGACATCCCCATCCTGTATTTTGAGGGAGCTGAGTTTGGATCAAGTTCAGCATAAGGTAGAAGAAAGAATATAGGTTTTTGATTCAGACAGTCCTGGCTTCCAATAGGATTTCTGCCACTTCCATGACCTTGGGCAAACTTTAAACCTCTCCTCGGTTTCCTTATTTGTAATGGGAGTGATGGCATCTTCTTCATAGGGTTGTAAGATAACCACGTGGACACGGGGTTTTAAAAGGTGTATCTTGGGCTTCCCTGGTGGCACAGTGGTTGAGAGTCCGCCTGCCGATGCGGGGGGCGCGGGTTCGTGCCCCGGTCCGGGAGGATCCCGCGTGCCGCGGAGCGGCTGGGCCCGTGAGCCATGGCCACTGAGCCTGCGCGTCCGGAGCCTGTGCTCCGCGGCGGGAGAGGCCACAGCAGTGAGAGGCCTGCGTACCGCAAAAAAAAAAAAAGGCGTATCTTAACTTTCTCACTGCGCACACACAAAATGGTAACTCAGGTAATGACTGTGTTAACCAACCTTATTGTGATAATCACTTTGCAATATGTACTTCTATCAAATCATCATATTGTATACCTTAAATGTACAGTGTTATATATCAAATACTGGATATCTCAGTCAAGCTGGGGAAAAAGGGCCCCACAATGTTTGCCCATAGGTGACAGACAATGAATGTTGTTGTCCACGCAGGTTCCCATATAGCCTGCGATACCTTGTGGGTTTAATACTCCATAGGAAAGTGGCTAGGCTTCACTTTATCTGAGGTTCACCTCAGGTAATGTCTATTCAACAAGCACTGATTACCTACCAGATATTCTTTATGATCCAAAGACAGTGGCAAGACTTCTAGCAGTGACAGATATTATGTAATAATATAAACATGTAAATGCCACGTTAAGTCACATCGATAATCAGTGACAGAATGGTAAATTCCACCTAGTAGATCTGAGGCAGATCTATCCAGCCCTCGCCCCCCACCCCCCAAAAAAATCACAGAGAAATTAAAAACTCCACGGCCACCTTCCAGAATCAGGCCTGAGGAGACGTCCTCAGTACGTAGCCTACTCTCGGGAAAACTACCCACCCTGGCTCCCTCTCCCTCCATGTATGCGCTGTTCAGAAAGACTGGCCACCAGCAGGTGACGGGACATGGCAGAGACCGTGGCTTCTCATTTACTTTCTTGGAGATGATGTTTTCTAAAATGAGGTAGAACAGAAAACGAATTGTGCTAGCTCGCACTTAGGTTTAACTCCTGCCGCTTTCTAGTGGAAGCAAGCAATGCAGTTCCTAAGCTTAGGGCCAAACATGCACTTCTGTCTCTACTTGTTTCACAACCAGAGACTCAGCGCAAACACCTTATTTTATCTTATTTATTTACTTTTTTATTTTTGGCCGTACCGTGTGGCATGTGGAATCTTAGTTCCCCGACCAGGGATCGAACCTGGGTCCCCTGCAGTGGAAGTGGAGTCCTAACCACTGGACCACCTGGGAAGTCCCAGTGCAAACATCCTAGTTTGCAGATGCCGTGCAGAGAAGTGGCCCAGAGGAGGCCCCACAGTGAGCCAATGGCAGAGGGGGGCTGAGATTCAACCCCCTCCACCTTCTGTCCTGGGCTGGATGATCTCTTAGTACGGTGCTGCCGTGCCCCTGTGTTCCCCGCAGACGCAGGAGGTGGCTGGGTTTGCGTCTCAGGACCAGCCCCTCCCTGATATCCACTGTATACATATGGAACACAGATGGATAATTTGCTTTTGACATTTAAACACAGGAAACCATGGCTGCTTGTGATGAAAGTTTTAAAGATTCTAAGAAAAATTTCACAAGTGGGACGGTGGATCTTAAAGGGAAAATGGTTTTGTGGAACACTCGTCCTTTACCACGATTGTCTGAGAAAGGTAAGTGTGATGAGGCCAAAGCGCTTCCTTTACTTCTGAGTGGAAGAACATGCTCGTTATAATCATCCCCCTCTTTTAGGAGTAGTGAGCTTGCCAGTGTGCCCTAAACACAGAGCACATAGACAGATGATACAGTCCAGTCTTATTTTACTTAATTAGAACAAGAATGTTTAAAACCACAACTCTGGGCTGTTTCTAATAGATATTTAAATACAAAGCATTTCGAATTTTAGCACAAGTGATACAGGCTAACGCGTCACTGGATTTGGATTACAGTCACATGAGCCAGATGATTCCTCTTGAATGTCTGAAAGGAAAGGGTGTTTGTACCAAGTCATGGGGTGAGGCCGGGGTCTGGGGGAGAAGGGTGCGCAGAGTAGGCAGGCTCTGGGCTTGTGCCCCTGAGCTTTCGGCTCCAAGCAGACTGAGCAGGTGTGGCACAGCAGCTCGGCGGGGGGAGCGGTACGCGTCCGTCCAACACCCCAAAGCTAGCTTTGCGGATGTGCTCCTTTCTAGTGCTTAGAAAGGGTTTTTTCTCGGCTGCCAGGAAGCAGGGAGTGGGGCTGCGTTGAATGATTATCTGGGAGCAGCCAGGCATAAGCTCAGACGCTCTGGAAGATTGGGGGTGGGGTATGGACAGAGAGATTCTTCTTCCTTTTGTGGATGGGGGAAGAGGGTGCTTGGTGACATTTTCCTGAGAATGCAAGGAAGAATACAGGTTTGAAAGGTTTATAATTGTATGTTAGAAGAGAGCCACGCCGATACTGAAAAAACGAAAAAAGGCATGGTAAACACACTTTTATTGAAAATTCAGATTTCTGAAACAACTATACTAAGAGTGGCATTGTAGGTCTTTAGCTAAATAAGACATAGCACGAAAATCATGTTCACTTTAACTTTTGAAGGTTCTTTTAAAAGCACCACTTAAAACGTACATATTCCCCCCCCAAAATTAAATGTAGAAAAACTGCTCTATCTCAGGAATGAGTTTGAGAATGCACACGGAAACCAGAGACAGTTTTTTAACCTCTGGTTATTGACAGGGAGCATTAATTCAAGAGGATTTGGAGATTTTCCTACATTGTTCACTTAAAGGACCACAGGCGCAGTGCTATCAGAGTTTCGTGGTCAATTTCTAGCCCTTTTCATAAATATGGTTACTGGCCAGATTTCTAAAACTTAAATTTGTCACCCAGAAAAGTAAAGTATAGGATTTACAAGTGTTTTATTTTTTGAGAAATTTTGAGAAAGGATCACGAGGGCAGCACACCAAAAAATAAGTGGAACTAGTTTTAATAATCTCTGAAAACTTTTAAGATTTATTTTGAAACCAACTTCCAAACAAGACAGAACAAAATCAATACATATGTATACTACACCGCTGAAGAAGCTTAAACTTGCCAAGGCATCTTCAGAGCGTTCCCTTTGAACTCTTTCCTCGGAGCCTCAGGTGATCTTCCGCTGTCACGACAGCGGCCCTGCTGGAAAATCCCTCTTGGGTGTTTGCGCTGCCAGCGCGGGCCGTCCTCAGCCCCGTCTCTGCACCAGCCCAGGCCCGGGTGCCGGGACGGTCGCGCTCACCCTGCGTCCCTGCCTCACCGCTTGCTGGATCGCTTCTGGGACTTCTCCGGGCTGCGCCGCTTCGCCGGCGGAGAATGACGGGCAGGGCCCCGAGCGTGGACCCTGTGCTTGTATGGGTGGGTTCTGTGCTTCTGCCGGCTTTCCTCCTTCTGGTCCTGGCTTTTCGCAGGTTCCTCACTGCCCTCTTTTTGTTCGTGGTCTTGCTCTTTCTGGGAGGGCAGCGTGTTCTTAATTGTGTTAATTAGAAATCTTTTATTTGTACCAGCAAGAGGACACTTCATCCTGGGGGGAAAAAACAACCACAAATCAAACACTGACTCCAAAGCTGAACCCTCCGATCGTGGCAAGTGCCAAAGAACTGCTTCCACAGAGTCGAGTTTCTGAATTTGTTTAGCTTTCCTTGCATGCCACCTAGTGTAAACTCTGGGCACAGGGGGGAAAACCCAAGACACTTAGAATTCTGGACACAGACTGGCTGGACCTCATCTGAAGACTTTAACCCTTTCTTCCTTGTTGGGACTAACTTTCCCAACAGGTACCACAATGTTATGTATAGGTGTTGACCACAACCCAAATTACCTGAGTCATTTAATAATATCTCCTTACACCATAAATGCCTGATTTGACTAGAATCTGCATTTTTAGTTACATTTATGGTGGCTTGTTTTTAAATATCAAAGAAGAAGGATCAGTCCCTCCCTGAGGAACAAAAAAAGGATACCTTGCTATATCATGAATACCGGAGCTACATGATCTACTCTAGAAATAAAAATATCTAAAGAATCTGTTAAATGCGATAATCACCTTTTACCCTCTATTTCAGGACCTTCTGTTTCAGAGTCTGTGCTCTGTCCCAGAGCACTGTTCACACATCTACCCTCTGGGTGAATTTCTGTGCAGTGTACATTTCAGGGGCTCCCTGAGTCAAGTTCACCCAGGAGGAAGGATGTAACTGGTTAAGTCGTTAATTTACATGTTTAGGTATATTTATATACTCAGTATTTGTTTTATTTTTCAGGTGTAGTAAACCTTTCATTTTAGAAAAGAAAACCCCACACGGATGAAAACCTGAATACTTCTCTTGGCCTTGAGCCAAGGCGGATGCTAATCCGTCCAAATCATGTTACTCAGGGTGGCTGGTAGTAAACAAAACTGAATGTAGTATTCTGTAATCTCCGTCTTTGTATCAAACTTTGATTCAAGGAGAATCCCACACAATACCTCAAAAGCAACCCACCAAGCAGCCCCACTGCAGTGATTTTCTCGTGGAAGAGACATGTAAGGGGTCACCAGCCAAGTGTCCCTGTTATGGAGGTCAGGCCACCTCAGACAATCAGAATGGCACTGAATCTGTTAGTAAAAGGAGGAGGAAAGGGGCTTCCCTGGTGGCGCAGTGGTTGAGAGTCTGCCTGCCGATGCAGGGGACACGGGTTCGTGCCCCGGTCCGGGAGGATCCCACATGCCACGGAGCGGCTGGGCCCGTGAGCCATGGCGGCTGGGCCTGCACGTCCGGAGCCTGTGCTCCGCAACGGGAGAGGCCACAGCAGTGAGAGGCCCGCGTACCGCAAGAAAAAAAAAGGAGGAGGAAAAAAAGAAAAGAAAATGGCTCCTGCTGCGAATAAGCAGCTCTTGAGCCTGCATGGAGAGAAAGTACCCGCGAGGTCTCAGAAGTGGTGTGTGCGCCCACATGCTGGTGTGCTTAACGCTCAGGCTGGGACGAGTGACGGGGAATGAGCGGCGGTGAGGAGACGGACTCAGGGAGAAAAGGACGCAGGGGGCAGCAGAAGCAGTGGGAATGCTGGGTGGGGACGGCACCGGAGGTTTGGTTTTCTTTTTCTGCTGAAGTTCAGAAGCCACAGTGATGAGCAAAGAAGAAAGGCAACAACAGAGAGCAAAGAAAACCCATGGTTCTGCGTGTGAGGCTGGGGGAGGCTGAGCTTCCAGAAAAGCGCGCCAGCATGACGCTCCTCAGGGGCCCCAAGGCACAGCCACGTGTACCTCCCAGAGGGACAGGCTCAGGACACCTGTGCAGTTGGGAGGGACGGCCAGGCTCTGACCTCAGTGACTTTACAGGATCATCAGTGCATCGAGGCACGGACTGGCTGACGACACCTGGACCACCGCATTGGCAAGCTCAGCAGAGATTCCGAAGAGCACGACACACGCGTGTGTCACAGAGCGGCACAACTCCGCCAGCCTGCGGGAAGGGACTGCCCTTCAATGCGGAACACAAAGAGCCCAGGTGCCTCTCTTTGCCAGCTGTGGCCAGGGCTTACTGTAGGAGCTAATCATGTTTATGAGCAACGGAGCACCGCTCTCTCTTGGATGGAGCGGACTAGAAACGGCTGGTGCAAGACAGCCAGCTACGGAAGAATTCTGGGGCCTTTTCAGTGCAGTGGGTCTTCAGTGCTGGTAAAACTGGTCCGTTCTTGTCTGAATTAAACAAAGAAAGAAGGTGATTACTGCCAGATGGGACAGTAACCCAAGATATTAAAACCTTTGGAAACTGCTGGCGCATTCAACTGCATTTTGCCATCTTCCACGTGAGATCATCTCCAGCACCATGTGCTTGCCTGAGATGGACAAAGCTCCTCCTGGGCTAGAGACCGGCAGGGTTCATGCTGTGAGTGGGGACCAGGTCGGAGGAGGCACCCCTAGCTCCCCGCTGCTCGTGTAACCCGCCGACTCAACACAGGGACCAGAAGCTAGCGTGGAATGAGGTGGTGTTCTGGAACAAAGTCCACACGAAAACCGGCCTTTACATCACTTTTTCACATCGAAGATGCGAGTTTTAATGCTGGTTGTGCCTAGTTTGTGTCCACCTTCAAGGTGAAAAGTCAAGCGTGGCTTGGAGAGAACTTGGTTTACTTGGGTGGGGGGAGGAGTGGGGAAGGAGGTATGAAAGCGACTCCCCCAGATACGCCAGGACACATTTTAGAAATGGTGACAAGTGCTCACCCACACTCCACTGATAAATGAGGCAGGACAACGAGATTGGGGGGCCGGGGAGGGGGGAGCAGTTGAGGGCAGATGTGAAGGGACACGTGGCAAATGACTCCATATAAAGAAAGTATAAAATCTGCACTGAATATATTCAAGCATAAGGAGAATAACATCAATGCTGAACGTGAGGAAGTCCCTGGCAGAGAGCGGCTCTGGCCTATAATGTGGTCATTAATTTTGCGGAAGCTCACCGCCAGTTGTCCTACGGCTACAAAGTCATACAACACAGTATACACACGTGCTCTGGAATCATACTGTCTCTTAGGCCAGACCTTGGGCATGTTAAATAATCTCCCTGTTGTCTCTCATCTATTCAATGGGGACAAGAGTGACTATTTTAGGGGACCGGATGCCGATCAAAGGAGCGAGAATGTGCTCAGAACAATGCCTGACGCGCAACCAGCACTTGGTAAAGGTTAGCTCAGTGCGCGGCCTACTCCTCTGACTCCATTCGCTCTGTGACGGTGGGAAAGTTACTTAATGCCTCTGTGCCCTGCTTTTCTATTCGCAAATGGAAGCAATAGAGGTATCCATCTATTGCAAGGGTCTAATGAGATAATGCGCAAAGCTCTTAGCACAGGGCCTGGCATATGGTAAATCTTCAATGAGTGTTACCTATGGGGCTATGATTTCTTATGCATAATTCCAAAATTTGAAAACCAAGTTCTTTTTCTTTCTTTTTTTTTTTTTTTTTTTTTTTTGCGGTACGCGGGGCTCTCACTGCTGTGGCCTCTCCCGTTGCGGAGCACAGGCTCCGGACGCGCAGGCTCAGTGGCCATGGCTCACGGGCCCAGCCGCTCCGCAGCATGTGGGATCTTCCCGGACCGGGGCACGAACCCATGTCCCCTGTGCCGGCAGACGGACTCTCAACCACTGCGCCACCAGGGAAGCCCCCAAGTTCTTTTTCTGATACGACAACTCATTTGGCAGCCAGACCTGGCCTAACCTGACGCTGGGCCCTTGTTTCTACTCTGTATCCCGTTTGAGGGAAGCGTTCATATGCTTTGCTGAGGAGATGATCATGTGTTGAACAAGTACCATTGGGGTATTTGTTGTGCACGCTGTCTGGGCTATAGTACCTATCTAAAATGTGAAAATATCTAAATTTAGAAACTTATCTGGATCCGAGGGCTTTAAACAAGGGATTGTGGACCCATATTATTACTATTCACTCTCCCTTCATGAAAAAGAATATATATAGCACTCAAGTTAATACATCAGGGATTTTTCCGTGATGGAAACTCAAGACAGCTAAGTCTCAAGTCACCTGGGATAATAAATTAATCAAGAACAGAGAAGAATGTCTGATGTTTCTCCATGAAAAAAAAAATGATTAAAAAATGAAAAGAACCTGAGCCATCAAGAAAAAACGAATAAGATGTTTTACAGAAATGTTCATAAAAATGGTTACAACTTTAAAGTTTTGGTACTTCAGATGGTTAAACTTCTGTATCTGCAAGTTTCACTTTCCAGGATATCTCAGTTCTCCATTGATATCAGAGTCAGTGGGCTACGGGGTAGTACCTCTCAGCTTATAATTTGCATTTCCTAATGGTCTATAGACTCTGTTTGTAGATGGTCCTCGGGTATAAATAACACTGAAGGCTGGAGTAAGTGGGTGATCTCGAAGGTCCTTCCACTTTTGAGTTTCTCCGCACACGTTCTGTATGTTGGCCCTTCAGAAAGTGACCCTCCTCTCCTTCATCAAATTAGGAAATTATTTCATTGCTCTCTGTCTCCTTGTTTCTCAGCTCTCTTTTAGTGCCATGTTCTTCTGTATTTGAGATGACACAATAAGCTAGCGTTAGATCCTCAACTGCCCTAAAGCCTTCTTTATATCAGCATCGAGGCAAAAGCCTGAGCCCTGCGGCACGGGCACAGGCCTGGCTGCTGGGTGGGTCTGTACTGGCTTTGTCCGTGGCCGCGCCCAAGGATGTGGGGTGGGGACCACAGGAGGCCACAGGATGGGCAGCTGCTTTCCTGTGGAACTCTGACCCCAACTCTGTTGACTTTCTCATGCTGGCTAGTTATTTTTGTTTTGGGTTCATTTTTGATTTTAGAACGTTATACTAGCTCACGTGGGAAGAGCCAGATTTAAGGTGCTAACAACATAAATGGATATAAAACTCTAAAGAGAATGAGACTGGTTAAAACTGCTCTAGGAAGTACCCATGACAGCACTGTCAGACTCAGGAGCTGGCATCCTATCCACGTTAAACCTGACAAGTGAAGCGAGTCCCTTCACTTTCAAAGCCAGAGGCTGAGATGAAGGGCTCCGC